TGAAAGAATACAACCCTGTCTCACACCTTTCCCAATTTTAAAACATTCAGTGTTCCCATGTTCTGTTTGAACAACTGCTTCTTGGTCTAGGTACAGATTCCTCAGAAGTACAATTAAGTGTTCTGGAATACTCATACTTCTCAATGTTGTCCATAGCTTGTTGTGATCCACACAATCGAAAGCCTTTGCATAGTCAATAAAGCACAGGTAAACATCCTTCTGGTATTGTGTGTGTATGTACACACACCCTATTTTGTTGATGTGTATTTTGTTATTATTTCTACCATATCACTATTGTAAATACTGCTACAGTGAACTTTGATATAGAAGTATGACTTTAAATCCCTGCTTTCAGTTCTTCTGGGTTTATACCTAGTAGTGGAATTTGTGGATTTTATGTTTAACTTACTGAGAAACCGCCGAACTATTTGCCATAGTGTCTGTACCATTTTACACTTGTGATGCTGTGGGTAAATGCGTGGGATTGCAAAGTTGGTTTGAGCAGCAGGGTTGGTGGTTTGAGCAGCAGGGTCGGCGGTTCAAGCTTACCAGCTGCTCTTCGGGAACCCTATACAGGGTCACTATAGGTCAGGACTGACTCAACAGCACTTAACAACAACAATAACAAGCAGCAGTCCACTAGGGTTCCAGTTTCTCCACATCATTGCCAGTGCTTGTCATTTTTCTTTTTTTTGAAGTTTGGATAATAGCCTCCCTAATGGGGTGACATAGTATCTCATTGTGATTTTGATTTGTGTTTCACTAATTACTGGTATGGCACTATAGGATAAGCACAAGAATGCTAACTGTACAGTTGGTAGTTCATGCCTACTACGACAGCAACAACAATGACTGACAAGTAACTTTTTCCTTTATCTTTTCCTGCTTTTTCCTCTCTTAAATACAAGGTCTCAGTATCTGTTGTTTTTTTCATTTAGGATCTGATAGAGAAAGTTGTCGTCCTACGAAAAGCTGTACAACTCTCTCAAACCATGGACACTAATGCAGTAGGGGTTCTTTTGGCTGAGAAGATGAGTCAATATGCCAATTTACTAGCAGCCCAAGGCAGTATTGCGGCAGCCCTGGCTTTTCTTCCTGAAAACACCAACCAGGTAATTAAAATGGACAATTTTTCTTCTTTTAATGTATGTGTGAAGTGAGTCCAAGAAATAGAACTTGGTATTAGACATAAACATATTAGTAAATAGACTATTTTGAATGAGTTCAATTCTATCAGCTATGTTATTAATAATGCCTCAGTGATCATTTTAGGTGTACTCAGAGAGATAGGATGCTTTTGTAACATGTTTACTAAGCATAATATTTGAGAAAAATAAATTAGGAAAAGACACAGCTTTTTGTTTCTTAAGTCAAATGCTGTTTCTGGGTATAAGGCTCTTGGTTTATGTTGGAAAGCTATAAATGTGTAATTATTTAATCAAATAAATGGGTTGTGTTGTATGGTATGGATTTAAAAAATCCTATATACCCTTTCTGTCTGATATTATCTGTGGGCAAGTATATTTTTGAAGTATTCAGGGCAGAGGGAATTACATTTCATTCTTAATTACAAAAAATGACAACAAACCACTCCTCCCACAGCACTCTTTACATCGCTGGGTTCAAGAATTCATTGTAGTGGCTACACAGAACTCAGACACCATACTCAATGATTGTTGGGTTTACTAGGGACTTTAACAGGGTACAGTTCAGAGTCAGACATGTTCAGGGCACAGTTCCTTCCAGTCAGGACAGCTTCTCCTCAGCTGTCCCCATAGGCAGGCCTCTCTCTGTCCTGGCAATGTTGCAAAGCTCTTTTAGGGATGCTAATAAATGCCTACACATACACCATTCCACCATAAGCTCCTGAAGGCACTCAGCTCTAGCTTCCCCAATTAAATGCTTAGAGCAGCCCACTCTGCAACCAAGTCTCCTGCTCAAAGTCACTTAGCTTTCCTTGCTTTGTGGGCACTTAACAACAACAATATGCATGTGAAAGTTGTTCAACGAATAAGGAAGACTAGAATAATCAGTATCTTTTAATTATGGTGTTAGCAAAGAATATTTAAAGTACCACGGACTGCCAGAAGAACAAATAAATGTCCCTTAGATGCAAGGATAGCGAGATTTCATCTCATGTACTTTGAGCATGTTACCAAGAAGGGCCAGTCACGGAGAAGGATGTCATTCTTGATTAAAGTGCAAGGTCAGTGAAAAAAAGGAAGACCCTCAATGAGATGGATTGACACAGTAAGAGTGGGCCTTGTTTCATTCTGTTGTACAGAGGAGTTGGTGATGAGTTAGAACCGATTTGACAGCACCAAACAAGTGGCGCTGGTAGCGTAGTGGTTACGGATCGGGCTGTGAACCTCAGGGTCAGCAGTTCAAAACTACCAGCTGTTCTGTGGGAGAAAGATGAGGCTTTTTCTGCTCCAGCCTCGGAAATCCTGTACAGGGTTGCTATGAGTTGGAACCAACTCCACGGCGTATAACAACAAGTGGTGCTGTGGGTTAATGTGCCAGACTGCAAAGCCGTTTGAACTGCAAGGCCAGTGGTTCAAGCTAACCAGCTGCTTCTAGGAAACCCTATACAGGGTCGCTATGGGTCGGAATCAACTTGATGGCACTTAACAACAACATCAACAACTTTAATTCTGTCTAAACTTGGAATAAAAATACTTAAATCTGCCCTCCAGGACTATGGTAGTATGGTTTTGTTTACACTTAACTGGTGAATTCAGCAGTATCTTTAACTGTTACTGAGAATGTTAGTTAGGATAGAAATACAGTCTTTTTATTTATGGTGAGATTAACATGTTGGTTTAATAAGACTTTTTCCTTAATAAGGTTTCATTATTATATTGAGATATTACTCTTTTTCTTAAGGCCTTCTGTCCTTTATTTTCAATACCATTTATAATGACTTACACTTTTCTGTTCATTATTCTTCATGCTTATATTTGGACGTTTAAAGATTATATCATTCTAGCATATAATTCTCCCCATTAAAGGTTGTAAAGTATGAAGTTTAAATGACCATTTAAATGTTTTTTATTGAAATTTTAAGTAAGTATTCATTCATTTTATAATAGTAATGATAAACTAATTGCATGTTATGTAAATAAATTTTTTATAGGGGGGGGGAAACAAATCTAAGTTTTCCAAAACAAGAAGTAATTTGTGAGAAGGGATAAGTATTCTTTTATACTTTTTCCCAATCTGTAATTTCTTTAATGTTTCACTTAGTAGAGGACAGTTGGATTTGCATGTCCACTTCTACATTCAGTCTGCTAGGATGTGCTGTCTCTTTGATTCTTTTTTTTTTTTTTTAGAGACCCTTTAAATGTTTAATGAATTTATAGGAATGAGAAAAATAAAGATATATTAAACCCAGTTCTTATTGAAGTATTTTCTCATATTGCTCTTGTTGCTTGGTGATGCTTAGAGCATATATGGTCAATTCATACTTACTGTAGATCTGTTTAAGTTAACTGAGTTTTATATCTTACTCTAAAGTCCTTTCAAACAAACGTCTCTTACAATTCTATCTCTATCTTAGAGATTTTCATTGTTTTTTTTCCTAAAAAGCAAGTTATGTTTTTGTTTTTGAATTACGTTTGGATTTTGTGAACATTATTCAAACCATATAAAAATAACAGAAGACATTGATCTTGTATGCTAACCGTGCAATAGGTATCGTTCAAATTTCTACCTCAGTTAAATTAGAAATTACTCAGTGTTATGGAGTAATTTTGAGATCATTCTTGCATATCTGTAACCATGAATGTTGAATCCTTGAGTGAGTGTATGAATGAAATGGGGTCTTTTAATTGATTTCTTGATTTTTCTTTTGAGAAATCCTCCATACTGTCATATAGTTAGGTGAATGATAACAGGTTGTTTTCTTCTGTTGCTCTTTAAAGGCAAACATTGTGCAGCTTCGTGACAGACTTTGTAGAGCACAAGGAGAGCCTGCAGCAAGACACGAAACATCCAAAAATCCTTATGAGAGGCAACAGCTGCTCAAGGGCAGGTCTGGGCAAACTGCTGGCCATACACAGATGCCAAGAGTTCCAGCTCAACAATATTATCCTCATGTGAGTAATCTATCTGGTCCAGATGAAATGGGAACATTTATGAAATTCTGTTCAGTGACTTTGAGGATAGTGCAGGACTGAGCAAAGTTTTTTTCTGTTGTATTTAGAGTCACTATGAGTTGGAATCTATGCAAATAGCAGTCAGTAACAACCAAGAACATTCAGAGAGATAGTTTCAGTTTGGGAGGTAAAAGACCTTCTCTGATGTGGTAAAAGTGAGACACCCTTTAAAAAAAAAAAAAAGCTAGACATCCTGTTTTAGTAGGTATACTTCCTAGATTCTAGATCTACCTTTCTAAGTCATCCTTTTAATCTGATCAAGAAAATTATATTTTAGATACAAATTAATTTTAACTCTCTAGGGAGCTTTTGGGGGAGATCTGGTAGCGTAGTGGTTATGAGTTGGGCTGCTAACCTTGTGGTTAGCAGTTCAAAACTACCAGCGATTCCGTGGAAGAAAGATGAGGCTTTCTGCTCCCGTAAAGATTTACAGCCTTGGAAACCCTGTGCAGGGTCACTACGAGTTGGGACTGACTCCACGGCACACCACCACCATCAGGGAGATTTTGCCTTAATTTTTCCGTCAGTTTTCCCTTGTACATATATTCTTGAAACATCTACCATTTGTTTCAGTTAACAAGCAGTTGCATAAACTAGCAGAAACAATTTTATGCATGATTTAGTTAATTTTATAAAATATTTTTAGAAAATACTTTTTTGTGTATTTTTTTTCTACATCATTAATATAATTATGATGTCATCTGTGTTAGCTCAATAAAGAGTTTCTAGAGTGCAGATCTTTCCTTCAGATGTTAGCGTAAAGCAGTGACCCAAGGTTTATAAATATAAGTAGAACGTCACAGAGAATGTGAAAAGAAGCACGTCATAAGAAACCAGAGGCTAGAGATGCTTATTGTACCATTGCCAATCAGTTATTTTCTCTTGTGTTTTACGTTTATTAGTATCTATGAAATCTTGCTTAAATTTCTTCAAGGAAAATCGGAGGACTTTACTCTGAGTTGCTAGTATCTATAATCATGATTTTTAGAAAACAGTTTTGCAAATTATATATAAAAGTATCATATATTCACGTTACATAATTGAGAAAATACAGATAACTAGAAGAAAAGCAAAGTTATTACCCAGAAATATTGGTTCACATTTGTCATGTGTTCTTTCACTTTTTGTAAATATAAGGGTGCTTTAAAAAGTTCCTGGAAAAATGGAATTCAAAGATAATGGAATTTTCCATGAACTTTTTAGAAGCCCCTGTATAGGGTTTCTGAGTAGTGGCTGGTGGGTTTGAACCACCAACCTTCCAGTTAGCAGTCCAGTGCTTTTTCTATAGCACCACACCAGGACTCCATATATACATATACATACAAATGTGTATATGTTGTTGTTGTAAAGTGCTGTCGAGTTGGTTCTTACTCATAGTGACTCTTTATAGGATTTCCAGGGAGTGGCTGGTGAATTTAAACTGCTGACCTTGTGATTCAAGCTGACCTTGTGTTTCAGTGCATTATCCTGCAGTGACATACCAGGATTCCAAGAATACACTAACTACCTGAAAAAATTCATTTTATCAAATTACATAATTATGACAGTAATTTGTATGAATTTTTAACTTACTTGGTAAGACATAATGTAAAATACAAAGTTTTTGTTATTATGTAAGTCATATGTAATAAAATATTTTATATTTTTCCCTTAACTCTAATGTTTCTGTATTCTTAGTTGACATTGCTATCTTGAAATTTTAACACCAGAATCCAAATGACTAAAATGCTTCTTTTTAGCCTATCAGAATAGATTTTTTTAAATCTGCTGAATTTTACCAGGGTAATTAAAACTACATTGCAAGCTCTTATAATACTAACCTCATGCTGAAGAGACAGAGCAGAACTGCCCAAGGTTGTCATCTCTATGGAAATGGAGGGACTGCCACATACATCTTTATTCTGTAGAGTGGCTGATGTATATAGACACACATACAAACTAAAACACCCTCAAAACATTTTGTGTCATTGAAAAATTTTTTTTATCTTTATGGATTCAAGACTGAAAATTTAAAGCCCTTTTTAACAATCAAATTTAGGACAAAAAAAATTTTTTTTTGTACCAGCCTCTGTTGATGAAAATAGTGCAGTTTGTTTTAGTGTGCTAAAATTACCACTGGTTTGTTGTTGTTGGTAAGTGCCGTTGAGTCAGTTCTGACCCATAATGACCCATCAAGTCAGTTCTGACTCATAGTGATGATATATGGTTTCTGAGGAGCAGCTGGTGAGTTTGAACTGCCAACCTTGCTTTTCAAACTGACCTTGTGGTCTGGTGCTTATCTTAGAATTCCACAGTTTAGTGTCATAAAATAGGATCTCTTATTGTATTTCGTTATTTCATTTAGAAACCTTGATATTTCAGACCAGTAGATAACCCTCTATGAAAAATGTATTTTCTTGCAAGTGACAAGTGATCCTGATGGATAGCATAGGTAATTTGCCTATTTTAAAAGTAGAACAGATTGCTTGATAGAATTGATGAGATCTTCTTATAATTGGTTATATTAAAAGTAAATTTAAAATGAAAAGCTAAAAAAAAAAAATATGAAACATGTTCTTTTGTTTGTTGTAGTTTTTACTGGTAAGTTAATCATGATGTTAATTGGAATATAGCAGCTACCTAGCATAGTCTCTTAATTTGATTTTTTTTGTTTATTTGACAAATATTTATTGAAAACCAATTGTGAGCTCCTGGCATTGCTCTAGCTGAGGGTACATTGGAGAGCAAAGTACACTAACTCTCTCCTTCTCCCATGGAGTTTACACTAGACTTAACAAGTCTATGCTGTAACAAGTGGGGCACATAATATTTTTGGCAGGAAACTTTAAAAATAGAGCAGTCAAGACACAGAGCATTAATTTCTGTGTTGTAAGTCTGCTAATGGCCATGTTGGGATTAGAACTCACAAACACCTTGTGTTAGACCACACTATCTTTCAGGGTACTGAAGTAAGGCATTCTCTGTACTTCTACAAGAAGAGAATATTTACTGTATGTACTTGTGTTTTATCTTTCTTTCTGGAAAAAGGTAGAAATATGAAGATTTTTGTTATACTTTGACTTACCAAACTCATATTAAAAAAAGATTAAAATCATAAGTAGATGTTCTTGATTAGTGCTTGAATAAATGTTGAATAAATTAGGACAGTGGCTTGTAGTTTAAAACTATGTCTGTAGACAAGGGTGGTGGGGTGAAAGTGAAAGGCCAGTGTTTCCACCCTCACTTCAACCAGCACAGCTTTATATTGATCAGTTTTAGAAGAGTTTATGCAAGGATTTACTTGAAAAAAGTCTTTTTTTATGAAACTTGAAAATGACTGGACTCCAGATTAAGCCACATTGTGTGGTGTAGAAAACACTTGTATAGAAGTCACAGGACCTGCAGTCAGTCCATCTAGCTGGATGGACCTCTACCAGCCCCTTTGCTTCTGCGGTGCTGGTTTTCTCAGTGGTATAGAGTGGGGGTTAGACTGTGTGATGCTCTCTGTCCTTTCAACATAACTATTCTCTGATTGTGCACTGTTTACGTCTTATATGAGACTAGTATGATTTCTGTTGCTCTAATGAAATCCAGAAAAAGGAGCTTATAACAATATGCTTACAAATCTAATGATAGTATGAATATTATTAACGCTTTTAAAATCTCTTTTTCACTCAACTATCTTTTTTCTGCAGTGTCTTCTTTCCTTCCTACTTACAGGATCCAGCTTTCCCCCTTATTCTTAACACTTGGATAGCATTGTTCTTTGTGCTTTAAGTTTTCATATTGATTTTTACGCCTTCCCTTTTGTTGAAAATGTATGTTTTTGTTTGAAAATTTCAGCTGCTCTGGATGCAATCATTTGACCAATGTGTGCTTGCTTTCTTGTTGCTCTTATTTTTTATTTCACAACTGGCAACTAATACCTTTTAGTTTTTTGTTTTCTTTCTTTGGACGTTTTCATTTTTTTTATTTTTCTGTGATTGGTATTTCTTTGTTCAATTCAGGTTAGAATTGCCCCTACTGTCACTACTTGGAGTAACAAAACTCCTACTGCCCTTCCCAGCCATCCATCTGCAGCCTCTCCCTCTGACACACAGGTATATCCTTCATTATTCTCTTTGAGCAGAATTCTGCTCCCTTAGATCTATGTAGGTATATATTCCTTAACCTTTCCCCGGCCCCGTTCCTCAAGCTCCCTTTCTCCAAGTCTGTCTTCCTGCTTATTGCATTTTAATGCTTTTAGGATGCAAGAAGCAGTTCTTAGCTCAATTAATTGATTTCCTTACCCCTCTCTCCTTCTTTTGCAGTTCTAAGTTGACTTGAGCTAGAAAAGCACAAACCAAGGTTCTAACAAGAGTTTAAATATCTGATTTCACTGAAGGTGTTTGATTTGTGTTTTGAGCCTTGCTGAAATTGAAGAGAAGCCAATGGTTTCCTTTATGGCATTTATACTTCTATTTCCAGAGTGTGGCGTAGTGGCTGGGATTTATTAGTGATGGGAGACCCTGGTGACTAATGAATATCATTATCATTGGCACTTAGTCTTACGAGGATGTTAGCATTTACTGCCATACATAATAACCACTACCATTGTGGTTATTGTGGTTAGAACTTGTCTAATCTGTAAATCACTCACAGTGTGTTGCTTAATAAATGTGGTGCTCTGAAAATGTGTAGAATGCAATAAACTGAAATTTTGGGGTTTTTTGTTTTGTTTAAATATAAGAATTCCATTTAGGAAATTGTAAGTCCATCTGGTAAAGTTCCTGGTTCCAAATATAAATCTTCTTACCATATTTTCATTCCCTAGGGAGAAAACCCTCCACCTCCAGGTTTTGTAATGCATGGAAATGTCCGTCCAAATGCTGCCGCTCAGCTGCCCGTATCTCCAGGTTCTATGCACACCCAGGTACCACCTTATCCACAGCCACAGCGTAAGTAGCGTGACTCTGAAGTCCTTTCAAAGCTGCATGTCCTATGTAATGTAGTAAGCATTTACTTTGGCTATCCAAATCCATGGTCAAATCAGATTGGACAAGTAAATAAAGAACCATTCTGTATAAAATTCTTATATAGTGAAATATGGTTTCCCAAAGAGGTGGCCTGATCAACATGCTCATAAGCAGTATACTAAATCAGTCTGTTCAGAACCACCGGTTCTTGTTATTGGGTCATTTCTAAGACCTGTTAAAGAGAGTCAAATATCCCATGATTTTAATATAAGGATCCCGGGTGGAGCAGTGGGTTAAGTATTGGGCTACTAATTGTAAGTTGGAATTTGAACCCTACCAGCTGCTCCATGGGAGAAAGATGAGATTGTCTGCTTCTGTAAAAATTTAGTCTTGAAAACCTTGGGGAGTAGTTAGAGTCCGTCCTATAGGCTCTTTATGATTGGAAAGTGCATCAGTTGCAGTGGGTTTGGCTTTTGCTTTTGTTTTTATTCTTTATCTTCTGGTATGGCACCGTAGGATCAACGCTAGACTGTGAACCACAATGTTGACCATTCAAACCCACCAGCTGCCCCTTGGGAACCCTATATTGGGTCACTGTGAATTGGAACTGGCTCAATGGCACTTAACAATAGGACAGATGACACAAACCAGTTTTCATAAAATGATCCCAGGGAGTTTTTTTTTTTCATATTTGCACTTGGAAAGTAATAAAGGATCGCTATTGAAAATTTAAATAGGAGATAAAAGTCCTCAGAGGGGAACATGTTATGCCTAAATAGCTATTACAAAAATCAGAGTCCACAACCTAGTAAGGGCTAATCCAAACTAACATGTATGTTACAGTGGCTGTTGTTACTTAACATGGATACAAATTCATTGCCACTTTTCATGAACTTAATGTGCAAGTATGATCTTCAGAGTACTGATAGGAATTAAGTACAGTTTTTCTAAATTCACTGTAGAGGTTCATATCTGCCTGCTTCCACAGAATGTGATGGTGGTCAGATGTACCTAACTTGGGTTCAGATGGTTATGTGCTCAGCTACTAACCAAAAGTTTGTCCATTCTAACCCACCTAACAGTGCCCTTGGAAGAAAGGCCTGGTGATCTACAGTACTTCTGAAAGATCACAGCCATTGCAAACCCTGTGGAGCACACGGGCTGCCATGAGTCAGAATTGATTTGACAGCAACTGATTTAAAAAAAATCTAGGTTTGGGACTTTGCATTAAAATATTAGTTGCTGTCTGATTGCATACTAACCAACTACATTGGTGGTGGTGGTGTGCTGCGGAGTCGGTTCCAACTCATAGCAACCCTCCGTAGGGTTTCCTAGACTGTAAATCTTTATGGGAGCAGAAAGCCCATCTTTTTTCCTTATAATGGCTGGTAGTTTCGAACTGATGACCTTGAGGTTAGCAGCCCAACTCATAACCACTATGCTACCAGAGCTCCGTAGGATTTCTAATATGTAGTATTTGTTTCATCAGGAATCATAGAAAGTTGCCTCTTGGTCTAGAACTGTGTTCAAACTCAGAATCAGCTGGTGGCCCTATTGGATATCAGAGAAGATACTTGATTTATAATAGTGTTCACCTTGTAGTTCTTAGGGAAGGGAGGTTTTGAGCTGCAACCAAACCAAACCTTCCTGCAAAGGGAATGTTTTGGATGTGTAATGCCAGCATAGTTCCATCTGTTGGCTAGTAGATGTCACTAGTTTTTTGACAGGAGCAAATATGTTTCAAAGGATTAGTCTCACCTTTCTTGGGTCTTATGAGTCAAAGATTTTCATAAATTTGAGGATGATAGTTTTCAAATATTGGACTTAATGGCTTTAAGTATATTTAGGGCATCTGAACCATCCAAAACGTAAGTGTTAGGTTTTGCTTGTAACTTACTGTTGTAAGAAGAATGATAAAACATAATTTTCATAGAATAAGGTAACTTTGTGTTTTTGCTGTTATGCTAGAATAAACTTGTAACTAATTAAAATTTCTGTTTCTTCTCCTTGGTGTAGCTTATCAACCAGCCCAGCAGTATTCCTTTGGAACGGGGGGTTCAGCAATGTATCGACCTCAGCAACCTGTCGCTCCTCCTGCTTCAAACACTTACTCTAACACCCCTTACATATCTTCTGCTTCTTCCTATTCTGGGCAGTCTCAGCTATATGCAGCACAGCACCAGATCTCTCAACCTACCTCCAGCCCTGCTGCTGCTTTCCCTCCTCCCCCTTCCTCTGGAGCATCCTTCCAGCATGGCGGTCCAGGAGCTCCACCATCCTCTTCAGCTTATGCACTGCCTCCTGAAACAACAGGTACACTGCCTGATGCCAGTGAGCTGCCTGCGTCCCAAAGAACAGGTCTGCGCTTGAAAGGGATTGGGTGGGGCTTCCCTCCTTTATATTTCTGAGACTGGATTGGGTAGGGTGGGGGAAGAGGGGAACGATTGCTTAACTGTAAACTAGATAACACTAGAGGTGTTGGTTGGGTTTTTCTAAAAGTGTAGTCCTCCCATAAAGAATTTTAGTTGTTAATGAGGAAAACTGTAGAGAGTCATTGCATGTAAAATAAGGGGTGGTAAGAAATGAATTGGCAGTTAGCGGAAGTTGAGACCAGGTTTAATTGGCACCAATTTCTTTAATAGAGAAAAGTTATGCTCGATGTCCTGAGAAGTCTTCCATGTATAAAACTATTTGAGTCTTAAACTCACTCATGGAAATTAAGCAGCCCAGGGTCTTAATCAGGTTGTGTGAATTTTTAATTACTTTCCATTGTAAGGGCAAGGAGAGATCTCAGAAAAAAAAAAAATGAGAGAACACAACCCTGACAGAGAGACAGTAAGACCAGCAAGACAGGTGAAAGTCAGTATATAATAGTGCAGTGATTTTCCATTAAAGTGATCCTGTTCTCTAGGGCATTCTGGAAATTTCTAGGCCCTGTTAGCTTCTTGAGTAACTTACTTAACTTCTGTAAGCCTCGGTTTCTATCTCAGAAGCTCATAGGAGCCCTGATGTAGTGCTGTGGGATAATGCACTGGATCAAAAGGTCTGTTTGAACTGCAAGGTTGGTGGTTCAAATTCACCAGCTGCTCCTTGGTTAAGTGATAGCCTACTATTTATTCCTGAGAGTCTTGCATCTATTTTCATTTTTTTATGTGCTAAGGAGTAGCATTAAGTACTGAAAAATTAAGTAGGCTCTATTAAATTAGATGGAGTCCTGGTGTATGGCCGTAGGATAAGCACTAGACCACAAGGTCAGTTTGAACCCCAAGATCGGCAGTTCAGACTCTCCAGCTGCTCCTTGGAAACCTGTATAGGGTCACTATGAGTCATAACTGACTTGATGGCACTTAACAACAACAATTAAATTAAATGGGCACGATGGCACTGTAGGATTAGTACTGGACTTCGAACCTCAGGATCAGTGGTTGTATCTACCAGCTGCTCCGTGGGAAAGATATGAGGCTTTTAACTCACGTAAAGATTTACAGCCTTAGAAACCCTATTTAAGGTTGCTGTGAGTCAGAACTGACTTGATGGTACTTGATAGCAAAATTAAATATGCTATGTTAGAGAAGTGCTAATTTCTGATAATACAAACTAAAAAGATATAGATAATGAGATGCTTTTTAATGTTAGTACTTGTAAAGTTAGTTGTTCCCAGAATTATATCACCTCTCCTCTTTGGTATATAATAGTAAAGTCCAGTGTACCAAAAGCCTATACATACACATATTATATGCATCATCCTTTACTGCATGAATAAAATTTCATTAATATACTATAGATGGAGTTCTAAAGATTATCTTTTTAAACCTGAATGAGTTAAAACAGTATCCATTCTGAATAGTTGGGTAATAGAGTTCTTTAATGAAAGAGGAAGCATGGGGTTCAAGTATACCCCAATGAAAACTGGTACAGAGAGTAAGAAAAGGAATTAACTTCTAATGTATAGGGATATGTTAGATATGTTAGACTAGCACTCGCTGTATATTAATTTGAGTCTCACAACCCTGACAAATAGGAAATTTTTTTTTTAAACTTTACAGTTGAGGAAGCCAAGACTCAGGCATTACGTTAATACTCTTGAGATGTAGTCTGTGAGTTTGAGATGTAAACCTTGGTTTTTTAGTGTTCAAAGTCCATCTTCATTCTGTACCAGGTAGTCTAGCTCTAATGTAATGTTAGAAATAGCTATCTTTGGTGAAATCACAAAAATCGCTTAACAACACTGTTCTGGGGATTATTGCTTTATCCTCTAAGTTAAATATTTGCATGCTTATTTTTACTTCTTAAGTAAAAACTATTAGAAACTGCATGCAGTTGGCTATGAGATAAAATCTTTGCTTATATACAAGATAACAGAATGTTTTAACTGGAATGAAAACTAGCAACTAACATGAAGAAGTTTTTCAGTACTTGGCATCCAAAAGCGTAGCTGCTTTGTTACCTCTTGCATGTTAACAGTTATATCTTAATTAACAGTTGCAACTTTACTGTGTTTTATTAGATTTAGGAAAATTTTATGTTATTTAAACAGTTGTGTATGAAAAATTTACCTCAGTTTTAATGTATTTTGATACTTTAGGTAATTGATTCTATATAGGACTTAGGATAAGCATTGAATTGCTAACCCATTCAAACCCACCACCTGCTCCTTGGAAAAGCTATACTGGGTCACTATGAGTCAGAACTGATTTGATGGCACTTAACATGAATAGCATTAGTAAACTACAGAATTTTACGCTCAGGTTTCAGAGAAATTAATGATGTAATCAAGAGAACATTCATTCAATAAATTCTTAATGAGTTCAGTCTGTAATCAGAATTTTTCCAGACTGAGTTAATGGGAGGGTGGAGGCAGAAAAAGGCAGTACGTTTCTAGTGACCAGCTCCTATTATAAGTTGGAACATGACATTTGTAACTGGACTTAATTTTGAAGTTTCAAGTGCCAGGGTAGGAAGTTTACACTTCATATAATAAGAAGAAAGATTTCAGTGAAGGATTTTGAACCTGCTGAATGGTGTGGTCAGAGTCGTGCCTGAGGAAAATTAATGTGGAGGTGGTCCTGCAAACAGACTATGTTAGGATTGGAAGCAGTGAAAACAGGCCCTCTCCCAGTTCTCAGTATAAGGCAGTGACAGCCTGACTTTGAATAGTGTCATGTTGCTTTGGTGGTGGCAGCACAGGAGAGCAGGCTGTTTCCCCTGCTTACTGTCCAACTATCTAGGATAACTGGGATGCTCTGAGTCAAATGTTTCTTCTTTGGCTCCTGGTTTAATGTGTGCTTGCTGATAAGGGAGAGCACTTTCAAATATGCAGATCCCAGCTTTACTCAGAATTTCTTTTCTGATAAACTAATAACACTGTCATGAAGCTGTCTGCATAAATATTATTGGCTTTGTTAAACAATGAACATTTACATTTAAGTATGCAGTCTCTGCTTCTTCACATAGAGTCTAGAAGGGGTATAGTACTGTAAACTATGAAGTGATGTTCTGAAAATACATTTTTAAAATTTTCATAAACATTTCAAATTATAATGCCTGGTCTTGATGTTTACGATAAAGAAAAAGGCCCCCCTGCTGCTTTTTGTTGTTGTTGTTAATTCCATTTTATCATGTGTCATTGGAAACTGACTTACAGAGTTCCTGTCTGTAAATTTTTACTCTGTAAATTTGTGACTTCCTTTGTTGAAATATGACAGACTGTAGGGGGAAGGAATGGTATATGGTTGGTAGGGATGCTGTAATCTCACCATCTCCAATTATCCTGTAGCCAGCAGTCTTCATAGCATCGACACTAACATTTTTGTCTTTAAGTCCACGGAAAAAAGTCTCAGCCAGTGCTTTGTGCTCCTGTAAGAGTACCAAAGAAAATTCCAGTGTGACTGGACTTGGAGAGTTGTATAGTTCCACTCTTGGATGAGAGGCCAGCCTTTCCCTCTTCCTTCCATAAAGAGCCTTTGGAGCAATAAGCTCGACACTAAGGTAGATTGGTTCTACAATGACATGCTTTATTCACATTTTAAAATTCATTTCCCCTGAATTGTATTCCTTTTCACTATTGTTGTTGTTGTTAGGTACCATCAAGCCTACACTTGTGATCTTATGCACAACAGAACAAAATACTACGCAGTCTTCTTCCAGCATCACCATCATTGCTAAGCTTGAGCCCATTGCTGCTGACGCTGTGCTAATCTATCTCATTAGGGATCTTTCCTTCCTTTTTTCCTCTGATCCTCCACTCTACCAAACATGATATCCTTCTCCAGGGTCTGGTGCTTCCTGATATTATGTCCAAAGTATGAGAAACAAAGTCTGGTCATCCTAGCTTCCAAGGAGCACTCTGGCTGTACTTCTTCCAACACAGCTCTGTTTATTCCTTTGGTAGTCCGTGGAACTTTCAGTATTCTCCTCTAACACCATAACTCAAATGCATCAGTTCTTCTGTGGTCTCCTTTATTCACTGTCCAGTTTTCACATGCATGAGGTGACTGAAAATACTATGGCTTGGGCCGGGCACACCTTAGTCGTCAAACTGACTTCTTGCTCTTGAACACTTTAAAGAGGTGTAGTGCAGCAGATTTACCTAACGTAATACGTCATTTGATTTCTTAACTACTGCTTCCGTGGGTGTTGATGGTTGATCTGAGCAAAATGAAGTTTTTGACAACTTCAGTCTTTTCTCCATTTATATGATTGCTTTTAATTGATCCAGTGATGAGGATTTTTGTTTTCTTTACATTGAGATGCAACCCATACTGAAGGCTGTGCTCTTTGATCTTCATGAGTAAGTATTTTAAGTCTTCTTCACTTTCGGGAAGCAAGGTTGTATCATCTGCATATCGCAGGTTGTTAATGAGTCTTCCTCCTATCCTGATGCTGTGGTTTCCCTCATAATAATCCAGCTTTTTGGAATTTTTGTTCAGCATATAGACTGACTAAGTACGGTGAAAGAACACAACGCTGGCATGCACCTTTCCCAATTTTAAACCATTCAGTATTCCCTTGCGCTGTTCAAACAACTGCCTCTTGGTCTATCTACCAGTTCCTCTTGAGCACGAGTAAGTAGTTCCAGAATAATCATTCTGTGCAATGTTGTCCATAGTTTGTCGTGATTCACACAAGTGAAAGCTTTTGCATAGTCAATAAAGCACAGATAAACATCTTATTGGCATTCTCTGCTTTCAGTCAAGATCCATCTGTTGTCAGCATTGACATCCCTTGTTCCATATCCTCTTCTGAGTACAGCTTGAACCTCTGGAAGTTCTCTGTCAGTGTCTGGTTGTAGCCATTTTTGTATTATCTTTAGCAAGCTTTTAATTGGATGTGATATTAGTGATATTGTCCCATAATTTTTGCATTGTTAGGTCACCTCTC